CGCACCAAATACACCTTGGAGGCCACTTAAAAAACAGCAGCCAATGAATTGCTGAAAAAGGTTAAATTTTTTTATTTCGTAAAATTCCTTTCTCTTAAAGGGCTTTCAGAAGAATGTAAATTAAATGAGTACGTCTCAAAATCTGAATTATTACATGCATATTTCTGTGCTTTTTAACAGATTTTTGCATAACAACAGAATAGCTCATTTGATTCCTGGAACATTTAGTCACTTAGAATCTATGAAGAGACTGTAAGTAAATTGAATTATTATCAAACTAAAGAAAGCTTAAATAATCTGATTACACTATATCCCATCTTGCAATGTTTATCTCACCTTTCATTGAGTGTTTTAAATATTAAATAATTTTTCCTAAGCTGTGCTCCAGTTGTTGATATACATAGATTGAGATCATTGCTTCATATCCTACTGCCTTTAGTAACTGACTAAATCCTTTTGTTTGTTTCCTGTCTTGGAATTATTTGTGATCATATGGTCTTGTTTTGTAGACTAAATAATATACCCAGATCCTTTTTTTTGTTTGTATTTTGATTTTTTTCTCCGTCTTGTCTATGTCTTACTGGGTGATCCTTCTATGATGTCTTTCAATATTTGATTATTTTGGTATTCTCTTTTAATTGTTTTACTTGTCCTTATTTGAGGATAAAAACATGGTTATAAAAAGGTGCTCAATGGTTTAAGAATATAAGTATTACTTTCAAAAGCAACTCCACAAGCCAGTTCTTCTTGAAATGCCATTAACTTGGAAAATTAGGGGCTTCTTAGTCCCTCAGTAGCATTTGAAAACTTGAACTCAAGAAGAGTACCATAGTAAGGTGACTTTTGGAGGATTTTCTGTCCCTCGCTTTGGATCTCCACTGGTCTAGGAGAAACATTCTTTAAACTATCCAAGACTGCTGTTTTGAGAAAGGCGGTCATGCATTCATACCCGCCTTTCCCAGAGGACAGCTGAGGGTGACTGTGCAGTGAGTCACAGTGCTAGCTCTACCAGGAAGGAGGATAGCAAGGGACGTAACAGCAAGGTGGTCCTGCTGGTTTAGGACAGTTGTGAAACCATACCTTTGACTGTGTGTGAAAGGCAGAATAAAGTAAATTTTGATGATGTATGCACCTTCCAGTATAGTAGCTGCTTCACTCATACCTCCCTTCAGTTCTTGTGGAATTCAAACGAACAGAAAGTGATGCTTCATCGCATAATTCCTAGATAAAGGGGAATTTTAATAGTGGCTATTAGTGGAACAGGACATTGGGCTAGACTGACCTGGTGTCCTCTGACCTGGGACAGCTTATCCCTAAAGGTCACATTGTGACTTTTGTGTTCTGGATTTAAATTCTGCCAGTAGCATCTGATATACTGGGAGATACTTGTATGATAACTTTTAAAATAGTTTTGCTTGTTCTTGCCTGTTTTTCATAGGAGAACAGGGAAGAAATAATATCTGGGCATTTGTACAAGAGGTTAAAAAAATACTAAAAGATAAAATTATCAAAATGTTTACTACACCCAAAGATACACCAAGCTGAGGTTGCTTTGCCAATGCAAATTTATTTCCAATCTAGATATAGATATATATCTTTCTATATATATTTAATGGTACAGATTTCTGTACTTAATTTTTTTTTCCTACAGGGCCCTTCACTAGAAAGCGTGGTGCTCCACGTAGTAACAGGGTCCTTCACTGAGTCCTTTCTTCCCCCTTTACTGGGAAGAAAGTCAACAGAATTTATGAGTTCTTGTTATCTGGAATAGGCAGGTGTTTTATGAAGTTACTGACCCACTGAACTCAACAAGAGCTTAATGCTTAAGTAAAACTGTGGGTCTTTGTCTCAATTGCCTGATCAGCAAAATGGGAAGTTGTAAAAATGTTATGTTAGCCGTGGAGTTACTACAGTAGTAAGTATTAAACAGAAAAAAATGTGGGGGGAATGGTATAAGTTCCTTCCTTAAGTAAAGTTTGTATAACTTCTAAATAAAACCTGATTTATTCACTGAATGCTGGGCTTAAAAAAGAAACACTGTTTAGATGCTTGCTATATTGAACACAGTCATACCTGTGCAGTAAAAATAATATGCATTTTTGTAATAAAGACTACCAGAATGCATGTAAGCAAGTGACCATCACCTGTATTCCATATTGCCGGTTGTCTGTATTCACAGATAAAGGTGCTGCTGGTATTGCAGAACGATTTTGATCCTAGCAAAGTAGTTGAAGCTTGCTAACAAGTGTTGTGGCTGCTTCTTGTTTTGTGCAGGCGTTTGGATTCAAATGCCCTTCACTGTGACTGTGAAATCCTATGGCTGGCGGAGCTGCTGAAGACATACGCAGAGTCGGGTAATGCTCAAGCAGCAGCTACCTGTGAGTACCCACGAAGGATCCAGGGAAGATCAGTGGCCACGATAACACCAGAAGAACTTAACTGCGGTGGGTTTGCCACTTCCTGATGGCTTCTTTAATGTGTTGAATGTGCCTAAACTGTGGTTTTTTTGTTTTGTTAGAATTTATTGTTCTGTTCTCTTAAATAACACTGACAACCTCTGGTCAATATTGGTTATTTCCAGAAACGCCCCTGTGTTGATTCTCAGTTTTTGTCTGCTTCTGACAGAACTGATTGGTTTTACCCTTCAGTCTATCTTTAATGAAACAAATACAGCCATGTTTGAAATTTCTCCTTGAGGAACTAAATGTGATTATCCAGAAAGAGTTTATTCCTTTTTATATTTCAGTTTTAATTGTAAAAGGATTGTCAACTAGGGTCTTTGTTACATTAATATTGTTTAGTGTCTTTTGTTCACGTCCCTACAAAGCAAAGAGAAGAAAGTAGCTGTACAGAATTGCTCCTGTTTTCACAGATCTTATTGTTAAAACTTTTGTTGATATTATTGGACTCAGGGTTGAGCCACTGGATTTCTTTTTCACTCAGCGACGCTTACAAGGAGTGCCCTGCACAGGCACTGAAATCCGGTCACAGAAGGATTAATGGATAAGCACTTCTGTTATGATCCTTTGCTTTATCTGTATTCCTTCAGCCTAGGGGTGCAAAGGCTTGGCCCTCTGGGCACCCTGGGGCTTGGCCCCGCACTTCTTCTGTTCTGAAATCAAAATGCAGATTTCTCATCAAGCTATGGGCATTTGCCTGCCCAGCCGTGTAATGAGGCCAAGTTATAAAATAAGTGAATTGTCCTTTTGGTTATGTGTTGGATATGATTCTGATCATGAGAATTATGACCATAAGCATCTGCAAGGTTCTTGAAAAAGATGGTAAAAAGGGGATTTGGTGCAAGAGTAATTCACATGGCATCCTGCCAGCTCTCCACACATCTAAGGAGCCTGAATATGGAAACTGCAGGAAGCAAGTTGGACAAATTATTCTGTAGGAGGCAAGTTAGGCACTGATGCTTATCTAGAGGAAGTTATTTTAAATGGCACTTGTGCTTGCTGCTTTAAAGTTTTTCCTTCATAAGCAAATGGAGCCTCTGTTAAAATAAATAAAACAGCTAATTTAGAACCCGATAAAAATTTGCGCAATCCATTTCCAGTCTGCTAAAAGGTCCTAAAGAACAATGGAGGGGATCAGAAAGCCTGCAGTCACTTTTGCATAGGGAAAAGTGCGTTTAATCCTGATTAAATGTATAAATATTTTAAGTTAAAACATTGATGAAAAATATTTTTCTACAAGGTGTATGGAAATTTTTTTTTTTATTTACCATTATTTAGTAGTTCTAAAACAAGCAAGAGTTCCTTATATGTTTTATTGTTGATACAGAGAGGCCGAGAATTACATCAGAGCCTCAGGATGTGGACGTTACCTCAGGGAATACTGTGTACTTCACTTGCAGAGCTGAAGGCAATCCTAAACCAGAAATTATCTGGCTTCGAAACAAGTAAGTTTAAAAGAGGAAGAGAGAAACTTGATGTAAATATGTTTGTCTGGGTGTGTGTACGTTTCTGGGTGCATGTCCACAGGCATTACATGCTAATATATGGAATAGTTACAGCAGAAACATATTATAATTAAAAGAAGTATACAAAGTAATAGTGGCCTGTAATTCTAGACACTTAAGAGCTGATAACTTTAGAAAATATTAATTTATGACTATAACACTATTGGTAAGATCTTAAATTGTAGTTATACCTGGAAAGTTGCTCACATCTGTAAAACTAAGTCATTTCTATGTAAGTACCAGGCAATCCAATATGGATGTGTTGCACATGCAGTTTGCGGGTTAGCTAGTGTTTGTGCACATTTGGAGGCAGAGCAAAAATTACTTTTTTAAAGGACTCCAGCTGGGTAAGAGTATGGTTTCAGAGGTCATCTTCCCTGAGCTCCAGCTGCTTGGAGGCAGCTTACTTCTGAGGTATAGCTCCATTCCAGCAGGGGAGAGATGTATCAATTTCCAGGCTCCCCAGACTGGTATGTGGAGGGCAGGCAGGTGCTTATATCATAGGACTGTAGGGTAATTCAGATTGGAGGGGATCTCAGGAGAGCTCCAGTGCAACCTTCTGCTGAAAGCAGGATTATACCAGGTTGCTTTATCCCATTGGATCTTAAAAGCCTCCAAGGATGGAGGTAGCACAAGCTCTTTGGGCAACCTGCTTCTCCTGACTGTTTAGGGGATGGAGGAAAGGGCTTTTAAAGGACGTGTGTCTTTCAGCAGCCCAAGGGCCAGGCTGCTGCAGAGCGGATGCTCAAGCTCTGCCCGGAGCCTGGCTCCCTCCAGCAGCGCTGGGCACAGCATGGCTGAACCAGCCACGTGGCAGCACATTGCCCCCCCTTAAACTGATATGGATTTACGATGGTCATGTGAATTGTGAGTTTACCACTAGGTTAATCAGACTTTGGCTTAATAATGCTGTCATACGAATGGAGAACCTTATCTGGAAAGTAAATTCCCTCACACTTTATATTAGCAAATGAACCCTTTAGTTTGTTAGTTGCTGATAAAATGGAACAACATAGAGTCTTGGTTTTGTAGCTTTCTGCTGATGTCAGTGACAACCCCATGTGCAGCAAGGGTTCAGCATTTATGTAGTATGTCAAGAACAGAGCCTTGAACTTGGATGGTATAATTATTTCATTAAAATTTTCTTTGGCTCGTGTAGTTTTTATAATAAATAAAGAAAACATGTATTCAGAATACACATATGAAAGAGTTTTAACAAGAAAGTTGAGCTCAGGGTGTGGGATTATTGACTCTGGCTTGTTTCCTGGCTGCGTGAATGAGAGCAAAGCTCTTTGCAAGGTAGTTGAATATGGCAAGATTTCAGTCAAAAGCCATTGACCTGTTGAGCAGTATGTTGAATAGATCAGCAGGCTGAGTTTTGTACATAGATGGTGCGATCTCATCCCTCCACTGTGCTTTCTTCATCATGTAGTGAGGGATGGAGCGAGAAGCAGTTGCTTTAACAAAAATCCCTAACCATTCTTAGTTAATGTCGCAGAAATGCATCCATGACATAGCCTGAAGACCTGATCTTAATTTATATTTCAAACCAGTACAAATTATAATCGGCTTCATTAGTGCTCCTCAAGCAATCCAGACAGAAGTTGGCACAAAGATGGTTTTATAGCAACTAACTCCTCTCCTATTAGAAAGTATCTTGAGTGTTGAACTTACATTATGTATTTCTAGTGGAAACATTTTAAATTGATTTACCAGTTAGAACAGCCTTAAAGGAAAGCGAGAGCGGGTATGTGTATTTTGTTCACTTTTTTCCCTGTAAGCTTTTACTCATAAAATTATTTTGTCTTTTCATTCTGAAGATGTAATGCTTGAGTAAGCAAAATTGTTTCAATTTTTTTGTTTTTCCTCTCCTTCTCTTTAGGATAAAACTAAAAGTTCTATTATTTTACTTAACACAGTAAAACTTTTTTTTCCCCCCCAAGTTATTTTGGGTAATGTATTTTGAGTTTTATTATTTGGCAGTTTTCTGTGCTTGTGATTTAAAGGTTTAACTCCAGCAGATTCTTTTCTTCACAGTAATGAGCTCAGTATGAAAGAAGATTCCCGTCTAAACTTGCTAGATGATGGCACATTAATGATTCAGAATACTCAAGAAACAGACCAAGGCATTTACCAGTGCATGGCAAAAAATGTGGCTGGAGAAGTGAAAACTCAGGAAGTTACTCTTAGATACTTCGAGTCACCAGGTAAAGAACATCAAATCTGAATTTTGCATTCAGATAGTGAATTGTTTTGATAATAAGATTGTTAAAAACAAGATGCTTTGGCTCATATATGTTCCAGACATGTAGATTTCTTGTGCTTGGGCGTCTTGAGAACAAGATCAAGAAGTCATAATATCCCTAGAACAAAAGTGCAAATCAGCCAGTTAATTAATATGTTTATTGTAGTATGCAATTCTAATGATAGTCTTGTAGGCTGTTTGTAGAAGGTATAAGAAAAGAGGCTGTTGCATTGCAACGTTGCTCAGTGCAATAATGTTCTCTCTGGATACCTGAAAACCACAAGCTTTGGAACAGGCCACTCATGAAAGCTTTGGCACACCCTATGCAGCCATCCTTGCTCAGGAACTTTTTAGCCTGAATTTCTGTCTAGCCAGGATTTCGTGTTTAGAGGCATTAAATTCCTGTCCAGGACTGTAATGTTTTTAAATTCCAGACTTTCCAGTGAGAAAATTTTGTTTTGACACTCAGCATCAGGTAAACTTAAAATGGCCTTGCAAAGCACACATGTAGTTGGGAAAAGCTACTAAATTGTAGCTTAATCAGTTTTGCCTTTTGTGTACTTTTGGCAGTTTTTAGCCAGTTTGTTTTCTGGATCTCAGTGTCTATGCCTTTGAAGAGACCTTTAAAAAGATCAGCAAATGAGAAGGAAATGTTTGAAAATTATTTTAATGGGAGGTAAGAAAAAACATCAATGCAATTATATGAGCTTTTTTTTTAATCTGTTGATATTTATAAATATCTGAGGCTAGATTAGGCTTAAAGCGAGGCAGAGTGTGCACCAAGATTAGAAGTATGTTGGAGCAGAGCTATTAAAAAAAACCCACCAGATTCCCCAAACTGTTGCAATATTCAGCTAAATTAGTGCTATGTGAGCTAAAAGTCATATTTAGGCATCTCTCTTCTCTCAGCCCGGCCAAGTTTTGTGATTCACCCACAAAATACCGAAGTGCTAGTTGGAGAGAGTGTTACCTTGGAGTGCAGCGCAACTGGGCACCCTCAGCCACGAATTACCTGGACCAAAGGTGACAGAACCCCTTTACCAAGTGACCCTCGCATCACAATAACTCCATCAGGAGGACTTTACATACAAAATGTGAAGCAGGAGGACAGTGGCGAGTATACCTGTTTCGCAACTAACAGCATAGATAATATCCATGCAACTGCATACATCATAGTCCAAGGTGAGTAACGTTAAACTAGGAGTGACATGCTGTAAAACATGTTAGGAAGAGTATATTACTTAAAATTGTGTGAGTTTGTCTCTTTTTCTGAATTGTCAGAGCTGAGCTAAAACCATCAGAGTTTTTTCTTTTAATTACACTATTCTGGTGTAGTCCATAGGAAAGTTGATATACATTTCACTCAGAGTAAGATACTATGTACTAACTCTCTGAAAGTTCTTTCATTGATTATTCTCAGAAGTTAATCATTGGTGTTTTGAAATGTTTATTTCTTATTGTTTTATTTACCTGTAGGAATAAACATCCACTGTCAAATTTGTGAGGCACTAAATTTTTTTCTGTAACGGGCAGCAGTCCTAGAGATTAAAATTTGTGCCTGGAGTACTTGAAATGGAGTTTCTGTGTTGCCTTTCTTTGTATACACTTCAATGAATGTGGGAATGTTTTCTGCTGAGTTTCATGGAAACTATCACTGACAGCTGAGGCGTTAGCATAGCTTTTCTGCAAAACAAAAGTCAAAGTACTCTAACTTACTGTGATCACAATAATTTTGGTAATGTATGCCAGTAGTACGTATATAAAGTATTTTGAGAGCAATATATCAAAAGCCTCCTATATATATGGAGAATATTTTTTGCAAATGTTTTCATGCTGGAACTTCTATTTGCAAAACATTTTGAGTAACCTTAAATTTACGTCTGTTTCTGTTCTCATGTTTAGTTGGCAAACAGTTTAGGTTGCAAATGTTTTGTTAATGAGTTCAGTTTTTAAAGCTATACAAAACAACTTGTCCATGTGGTTTGTTCATTTATTATTCACCAATGGATGATTGTGTTTTGAGAGCTGAACAAATTACTTCTCACACTGATAACGCCATGAAGTTACCTCAGAAATTGGCCCACACTCCACTCACTGCTTTCCTTTTGTTTAAAGAAGAAAACAAGCAGCTCAGGATGGTTTTGACTGTATTGCATTTTCTTCACAGTTTAGCTCAGGATTCTTTGAGAGAAAGAGAAGAAGGTATTTTTAATAGATGTTTATATATTAAAATATGTATTTTAATATCTA